CCATTTTTTATGAGATCGCTAACATTTGCAAGGATATGGACATCTCTTGGACACATACCTTGAGGACATCAAACGACTTGGCTGATCTTCTAGCAAAGGACGGGGCCAGAGCTCACACTGAAGATTTTATGGGTCACCTTTGATCCGGACCGCAGAGGGATAATGGAACAGCAGTTCTTGGCCACCTAATTTTGACGTATATCACAGAGTTTGTTTGTACATAGGGGCAATTTTATAAGCCTATTTTTTTGTAATATCATTGTATATCTTGTAGCATCAAGGGCTGTCCTTTTAACCAATTTTGTATAGGGTTGACTGACAACCTTTTATGAGGAGTCCCACTGAAAAGGGACACTCGATTTTAATACTTCTGTATATACTCTTTTAATGGAATACAATTAACTTTTCTCAAAAAAAAAAAAAGAGTTGATTTATACTTACAAAGGTATAAATAATTGATCAAGATTCAAAGTTAACATTTAATTAATATTAATATTAAGTAAACTATTGCTTAGAATAGTACAATATGTCATTTTTGCAGTAGCACTATGTTGTGTTACTTTTTCAACTTGTGTTAAAGTTATTTTAAATAAGTATTAATATTAAGTAAACTACTATTTAGAGGAGTGCAATGTCATTGTTGTGGTGCCACTTTATTGTACTACCTACTCAACTTGTGTGAAATTTATTTTAAAGAAATTAACATGATTGTAGAATTTATTTAAACTAGACATATTGTTTCCTTATAGAGTTTAAATGGGCATGCGTTGGATTGATTAGAAATTATAAACTAGAAGTTCTTTATTATGGTCTTGTGAGATTGTATTATAAGTTTATTTTAAATTAATCTTATAGTAGCACAATGTGTCATTTTGTGTTGGCACTGTGTTATGCTACCTGCTTAGTTTGTGTCAAATTCATTTCAAAGAAGTTAAATATGAATATAGAATTTGTTTGAAATGGATATAAATTGTTTCACTATAGATTTTAAAGGGTCATGTGCATTACACATTGACGGGGGGCTTTATGCTTTAATTGCGTAGAAGAAGAAAAATAGGAAATTTTTATTGTGGTCTTGCTAGACTATATTGTAGGATTGTTTGTAAGTAATGTTATATTGTTTAAGTCAATTAGATTTATTAACCAAATGTTTAAGAGTTTGTTTTAATTATAAGTAACAATTTATTATCACTTATAAAAAAGAATTTAAATATTTGTAAGTTTTTTTGATAGAAAATTTAAATAATTGTAAGTTATTAGTTACAAATATATATTTATAACTTATATATTTATAAGTTATATATATGTATAAGTTATAATTTACAACTTGGGAAAATTGTTTCATGCGACGAGGACCGCATTTCTACATTTGTGGTCCTCGAGGTATAAAGCATCCATCTTAATGATGGATGCAAATAGGTAGTCCATATTTAAACAATTGAAACTAACGGTCCCAATGTTTTCTTAATAGAATTATTATTTCTAATTTTCATATTCATGATCTTCATGTTAGAAAGATGGATGCAATTAGGTAGTCCATCTTTAAACAATTGAAACTAATTGTCCAAATGTTTTCTTAATAGAATTATTATTTCTATTTTTCATATTCATGATCTCCATGTTAGAGATTACATGTCCTTAAAAATAAAAAAATCCATCTCAAAGATAGATTTTTAAGAGGTGAATTATTTCTACATGGACTCATAGAAACCGTGTCTTACGACTTATAAATGACAATTTAAATAATTTTATGTTATAGATATATTTGACTTAACTATCTAAAGAATGATAAAAATTAATAACCTTATACATTTATAACTTACTATACAATAAATTTTTTTTCTATTGTTGTAAAGAAATTTTATTTTGCTTCTAAAGTTATTAAAAGCAATTGAACCCATATAAACCCTATAGACAAATACGATGGTCGAAGTACTTCACCTATTGGTTCTTCTTGGAGTCCATCTTTTTCTTAATTGAAGTTCAACTCATCCACAAAATCTTATTTACTATTGAACCTGGGGATCAGCAACTCTATTTGGACGCTCATCAAAGATTGATCGTTAGCTTTTAAGTAATGTTACGCAAACTACTGCTTAAAACCGTGTAATGAGATCACTTTTATGATGACGATATGCTATGCTATGCTACTCACACAAATTGTGTAAAATTCATTTTAAAGAAGTTACTATGAACTTAGACTTTATTTAAACTGGCTATATTTTTCATTATAGAGTTTAAATGTGCATATGTATTGGACTGCCTAGAAATTAAACAATAGAAGTTCTTTATTGCAGTTTTGCTAGACTATGTTGTAAGTTTGACTTTAATTGATTTTACATCAATTCAATGCATCATTTTTGTGGTGGCACTATGTTGTGCTACCCGCTCAAATTGTGTCAAATTTATTTTTAATAAGATACCATGAATATAGAGTTTGTTTAAAACTGGTTTAAAAAACTCATTATTTCAATCTTGTAGTTCAAGAAATTATTTTTCCTTAATAGCATTTAATAATCTAAAATTTAAGGATCCCATGAGTATTTTAAAGCAAAAAAGTTTTAGTTTAAAAACTTATTCATAGGATTTCTAGTTGAAGGATCATGTACATGAGGTAATACATAACCTAATAAGATTTTGTATGCTGATATTATTATTGTTATTATTTAAGTTATATATGAGCTTATAAGGTCTTTAACATATATATTGTAAAGCCAAGTAAATAAGTGATTATGTGAGTGATCTTTTGTGCACTTTTTATAAAAAAAATAATTTTATTTATGAATAAAAATTTATGATTTAAATTTAAGTTTTATTATGACATTGGTAAATTATAACTTTAAATTTAAAGTAATTTATTAATTAATTTTGAAATTATTGGTATAAGAAATTTATAATTTTTAAGATAAATATTTGATATACTGCTAATCATTAGTTGATATTAGTTATATTTGAAAAAAGTTAAAATATCCATTTTAAAAAAGTATTATTACTTCCTTTATTATTAAAAGTATTTATAATTTAAATTTTAACTGTCTATTGATATTATTTAGATATAAATTTTATCTTTAAACTATAACTTTATTACATCTAATAACTAAAAGTTTATGAAAGTAGCTTTTTTTTTTTTGGTTGAAGTAGCCATCCAAACTTCTGGGATATGCTAACAGTGTATAGCTAATCTACATTCTACAATTTTTATTAAAACGTGGTTTTGATATTAATCTTAAACGAACCACTGCTTAGAGTATCACAAATTGTTATGTTTCTGGTGATAGTATGTTGTGCCACCCGCTCAATTTGTGTTTTGAGTTTTAGGTGGTGTGAACTCTACGTGGCTCAAAACTTGTCGTATAATTTGATTGATAAGTTGATATAATACTTATAAATATGTAATTCAGATCCAAAAGCTTACCTATTAATTTGATCACCAAAGTGTCGAGTAAATAAATGAAAATGTGAGTAATCTCATGTACACCCTTTATGAAAGAAAAATATTTTTATTTATGATTTAAATTTAATTTTATTAATCACAATATTTCTCAATTATATATTTTATTTTATATTTAAGATTATAAATTTTATTTTTATTTATAATTATAAATTTGAAATTCATTGTTATAATTACAAAGTTTAATTTATAGTAATAATTTTAAACACATTTATTAAATAATTTTAAAAATTTTACTTGTTGAAGTTATTATTATGAGGAATTTATGGTGTTTAAAACAAACATTTGAAAATAACATAGATCTAAAATAAACAACTATTGCCTGTTTATATAAAATTTATAGCTCTCAAATTAAATAGTGGGAAATAACATGAATACAAAATTTATAACACGAGTACAGATTTTTTTAAATCAAATATGTTGTTTTATTTATAATTTGTGAAATATTTTATCAAAGTGAAAGTCTAACTTTTAATACCAAACTATAAATTTTAATTTATTTTGGCTTTTAAGTAAAATTTTGAATTTCAAAAGTATAATAGATATACTAACGTGTTTTAATTTTATTGCATAAAATTTGTGATTCCATTTTGTATTTGTAATTATTATGTAAAAATCAATAACAAATCAATTTGATAATTTCACAAAAAAAAAAAACAATAAAATGCCGATTTAAAGAAAACACTATATACTTGTATATTATTAAAGATAAGGAGACACAGTCTTTTACAATAAAGTATATTGTCTAAAGTGCACCCTTGCGAACACTCTGTATATTTGATCTATCAAGAAAAGCATTTAGTAATGGTATTTTGTGTATGTTAAATGTAGGGATCAACTTTTAAATGTTTATTTCAAGAGGAAAAGTTGAAAATTGACTTAGTAAAATTTTGAAGTTAGAACTGCAGAGTTTGGAATTTTGGATGTTTATGAAGTTTGGAATATGAATATTTGGTATGAAATGGGATAGATCGTTTTGTTTTACATGTTAATTGTGTTAGGTATTTAAACTATTAAAGTTTAGAAGTTACAACAACAAACTCTATTAATCCTTGTCAAACTATCAAGGGACTCAAGGTCCCAGACAACTAATATATTGGAGATAATGAATAGATTATGATACCTACTATCACATAAATCACATCAATGTTTTTTTCATGAATTATTGTATTTTTGTATATTTTTAAGATTTTTATTTTTTAAATCTATTAACCACATCAGAGGTGTTGCCCCCATGTGGAGACTATGTTGAGCCATATCATACTATCCGCATCCTGCATTTTAAAACATCGCTTCTGAAAAGATGGATAGAAAAATTAACGAGAGTTATTCATTTATAGTTTATATGACAATAGAATTGGGACTTATCTATATGATATACTGCTGAATTGGTTTTAGTTTTGTACGGTTAAATCTATGTGACCACAGAAGGATATTTTCAATTTCCAGAAGGATATTTTCAATTTCTACGAACATATATTTTTTTCACCTCTTCTGAATTTATCCTAGACATTGCAGACTCAACTAATTTGTTGAAATCTTACCTCAGTCAAGGTGACCACTACATTATCAACGGGAATAAATGGTGGACAAGTGGAGCAATGGATCCTAGGTGCAAACTTTTAATTGTCATGGTAAGACTTACGAGCACTCAAGGCATATCGATAATAGTTCACTTCCTTCATTGACGTCGTATCATCCTTCTCCAATAACTTTTTATTCAAACAAAATGATTCATTAATATGCAGGGGAAAACAGATCAAACTGCTCCTAGGCATTGGCAGCAGTCCATGATTCTTGTGGATATTCAAAGTCCTGGTGTGTGTGTGAAGAGGCCTTTGAAAGTTTTTGGCTTTGATGATGCTCCCCATGGGCACGCAGAAGTGTCATTCACAAGTGTGTGTGTCCCAATTACAAATTTGTTGCTGGGAGAAGGCCGTGGCTTTGAGATTGCCCAAGTAAGGCCATGCTTCACTGCTTTGGGTTTTAGTAAGCATGTTTATGTCATGGTTCATGGCTAAGACATGTTGCTGAATGTTCTAAGAGACCTAGATTGTTGGTGTTTGTTCTTCAAGAATAGATGACCTGATCATGTACATATCACTTTTTGAATCCCTCTTTCTTAATTTTAATTTTAGTTTTTTATATCTTTGCGTGGGTGGATAGCCTACTGTGACCCCTAACACCATAACCATTTAGCCAAGAAACCAAGCACCAAGACCGAGATTATTATCCTCCACCCTGATTAGGCCTTACTTGGAGAATACAAGTACCCTAAATTATTTATTTTTTCACATATCAACCTAATTGTTGTTACTAAAAAAAGAAAGAATTGCAGGGTAGGCTTGGGCCAGGCCGGTTACACCATTGCATGCGGCTGATTGGTGCTGCAGAGCGTGGTCTTTCTATGATGGTTGAGAGGGCTCAAAAGAGAAAAGTGTTTGGGAAGTTGATTGCAGAACAAGGTTCATTTCTATCTGATCTTGCTAAGGTATATGCTCTCCACCCTATTTCTCCATTGAGTCCTACAAGCTGAGTGTCTGTTGTGAATTAAGTGTGGCTGCTATATAAGTGGTTATGGATACAATAAGCTGAGAATGGGTATTTAACAAGTACTGAGACTTATTGCAGCAACGCAATTCTAGGGTTTGGATTTTAAAGCAAGGGGCCAGCTCCTACTTTAATGGATAAAGGCTAACCTAATTATTTAGTATTACTCACTAGGACTAATATTCCCATGTTTCTAAAATCACACAAATATATTCTGAGATTATAAAAAATGTATCTATTTTCTAATATTACAAATGTTTCTCTTATTTACTTAAATTGTCCTTATTTTTTTAAATAAATTTATTTTAAAATGTATGATTAAGCTTATAAGAAAATGAACACTTGACAGAGATAGAAATTTACCAAAGATTTAAGTCTTTAGAAACGAAATCTGAAAAATGAGAAATTGTCTCTATTCAACTCTTCCTTTTTTAGAGTGTTTCCCAGTTCTAGAAAATTTCTTCCTTTTTTTATTTAGAAAAAAAATATTCCACGAGATATCTCCAAGAATTTCTAATGTTTTGAGCATCATCATTATGTTTTCTAGTGTCGTGTGGAACTGGAGAAGACAAGATTGCTAGTGCTAGAAGCCGCAGATCAGCTTGATCGGTTTGGAAACAAGAAAGCACGAGGAATCATAGCAATGGCAAAGGTAAATCTGCTTATACATAAAACATGGCAAAAATATACAATACACTAGTAGTATATGGATAGTGGAGATTACGTCACCCAATTGGATATCCAGCATCAAGAATTGCATACATTTCATCTAACCATCTATATGTTGCAGCTTACATTGGATGTCTGTAGGTATTCCATACACGATACACCACTCTTATATGGTCTACTTTCACTTAAAACAATTGCAGATATATTCTATAATCCTAAGGACAATGGAAAAACCATAGTTCTTATGATCTTTACCATTCATTGAAAATTAGGGATAGTGATGGAGTGTGACCCACCAGAGCAATGAAAGACCCTAGCATTGGATTGGATGCTACCCATCACCTTCCATCATTTCAGTTGGCAGTGGTTACCATGTGGACTATGAGTTTTCTATTGTATTTGGCATTATACTTCCTGCAACATGCTAACACTCACCCTGCCCAAAAGGAGCTGAATTGGTTGTCATATACTAAATCGATGGTGTATGTGTAGGTTGCAGCTCCCAATATGGCTTTGCAGGTACTAGATAGGGCAATCCAAGTGCATGGAGCCGCAGGAGTTTCTTCGGATACGGTGTTGGCTCATCTTTGGGCCACAGCTCGAACCTTGAGGATTGCAGATGGCCCTGATGAAGTCCATTTGGGAACCATAGCCAAGTTGGAGTTGCAGAGAGCTAAGTTATGATAGAGATTAGTGTAAGAAAGTGGGGTTGAGTATACATCATACTTTCGCAATTACATGGGTGACCTCCTAAATTTATGTAGTCCAGATTTATTGTAGGGGTGTTTATGATGCTTGTGCATGAAAATAATAGGGTGGTTGATCTTCTAGGAAGCCCTTGGGGTCCATTTGCGCACACAACTTATCAAGGAATGAAAATGAAAATGAAAATAATGCTGAATAGTTAAATCTTTGCAAGTTGGTGGCACTTTCTTGTATAAATCTTGTGCTAATTAATAATATTGCTTTATTGCTGGTTCTTTGATAAATGTTACATTTGGCACTTTTTATTTTTATTTCATGGAGTTGTCTACCAAACCCCAAGTTCTGAGAAGAAGGGCATACCTTAATTGAGGAAAGAATGGGTAAAAAGGAGAACAGCCCAAGAAGGATTAAGTGGTCTCCTCTCTCTCACCTAGATTAGGGGTTTTTTTCCAGGGGTAAATTACTAAAACCCCCCTTAACCCAACTTTCTTAACATCCTTCCCTCGACTACTTTTTAAAACATAAAAAAAACTCAGTATTGTTTTATTTTGTCAAAGTTAAAAAAACAAATATTACCTATTTGACCATGTTTACAGCAGCCCTTCTTTTTTTTTTCTACCATATCCAAAGAATTATTTTGTGCTGGACCAACACAAAACAATGCTCGAAGCCGGTCTGGCAGTGTTTTGAGCTGCACCTGCACTATGAAAATGTGGCCACAAGGTAGAGGGGTATTTTGCTTACAAATTTATTGATAGGAGAAAGTGCAAAAGAAAATAAGAACTATGGGGGATTTTAGCCTTTTAAAAAAGGAAAAAGTTTATATAGAGCTGAGGATCTAAACAATCAAATTAGAGCCCCTTTCAAAAATTTCACTAAAAGAGGTTGTTTTGATGTCCAAATATCTTCAAATTGATCATCTTGACATCAAGATGTATGGACATGAGAAAAAAATGGATTTCAAGTTTTGGAAATAGTGCTTCTTGATGCATCTTTTGACCGTTAATTTTCAAGTTTTCATAGATCTACTCGATCTACCTTATTTTTGAAGTTTTATAATTAAAGATAAAAATATAATTTAAGGCTGTCATAAAGATTTCCATCATTGAAATCACATTTCTCGATACTATTTGAAGTTGTGTTTTACTTTGATTGATTAGAGCCTCAGCTTTATACAAATCGCACCCTTTGAAAAAAGGTTATGTTAGAGGGCTCTCCTATTATACAGCATTTAATATTCCATTGTGGGTGATGTCACACTCTATCGGGATTCTATCACACTCAATTTTAATGACAAAAAATACTCTTACAAAAAAAATATATAAATATCTAAAATTCGTTGAGTACAATTATAAAATAGAAAATTGTTTAATGCGGCGGGGACCGTATTTCTACATTTGCCGTCCCTGAGGTATAAAGCATCGATCTTAAAGATGGATGCAAATAGGTGGTCATCTAAAAATAATTGAAACTCACAGTCCAAATATTTTTTTATGGGTGCAATTTATATAGAGCCTAGGCTCTAAACAATCAAATTGGAGCCTACCTTCAAATAGTGTAAACAAATGTGGTTATAATTATGGAAATCTTTTTGATAGCTTTGTAATATATTTTCATCTTAATTTATAAAGTTTAAAAAATAATGTAGATCGAGAGATCTATGAAAAATTGAATTTTTTAAAAATTAACGGTAAAAAATGTGTTACAAAACAATATTATTTCCAAAACTTGAAATCTATTTTTTTCTCATGT